CTTCTTCCGAGGTTTGTTTAACTGCGAGCTGACTGCGAATTTTTTTCCTCGAAGTGTGCCAGTTCCAATTCGCCATTGAGACGAATGAACAAATTGTACAGGGAGCGCAGTTGTCTATTATGTTTTTGTGCTTTCAGCTGCTGGGTTTAATTTTTTTTGTACTTCGATCCCCGATGGTAATTATCTTACTATTTTACTTAATCAGTTCAGACCTGTATCTTAGCAGCAGGTGCTTGTCGGATGCAATGTGCGATCACGTTAATATCATCTGATTGCCCGTTCTGTCCGGATGTTGTGCAGTTAAGTTTTTTCGCTAGAAACATCGAAGTTTCCAGAGCCATATTCTTCTCTTTTGTCGCCCATGAATTTGCAATTGTGCCACTCTAAAAATTACTAACATTCAATGATTTTATGTGTGAAAAAGGAAGGCATTTATCAGTGTGTGACCCATCCAGAGAGTGTGATACTTCGTTCTGAAAAGTGCTCAAGATTCTGATACAAAATTCATGTTTATCAAACCATTTCTCTATGCATTCGCAAACCGGAAATCGACTTCTGAGTGGAAGCAGTGGATTTGGGGAAGTCAGGTACTTAATCGTTAGACTACTAAAAGAACTGATAACTGACTCAACTAGCATAAAATTTCGCTGAAAAGTAACCTGCTCTCTATTCACTCGCAGATTCGGAGTCAACTCGAAAGTTGAAGCAGTAAATTTGGAGGTTTTTTACCCCAATGCAAAATGTTTCAAAATTGCCCAAACAAAAAGAAAAAAAGATACTGATAATTAACCTAATTAGCGTAACATAGACTGCAGGAGAATAACTTTGATTAAGAAAGACGTAAAACTTGACTATGATGTTCACGACTTAATTGGTCGGAACGTCTTATCTCATCACTTTCTAGTCTCTTAATCGCTCGTTTTGTCTTTCGAATTCATTCGTTCATTTCCTTTCCACCATAGCACATTCCATGTAAGTAATTAGTTAGAGAAACGCAAATTTTAGTAAGGATATGGTGTTTTAGCAAAAGAAGTGGGAGAAAAAGGCATTGGAGTAATCCAGAAATTTTAATCGGAGTTAAAAGCAAATAGGCTAATTTGAGTAAGTGAATTTTTAATGATACACATAAAACGTCTAAAAATGCCGCAATTTTAAGCTAAACCTTAAAAAATGCTACAGTTAAACAAATGTGATGCAAAATTAGAGATAGAGCGTTCTTAATGTTCAAGGCAATTTTTTGCCGGAGCTTTCTCAAATTTCTGTAATAGCATATTAAGCTTCCTTACTGGAATGGCATATTAAGCTTTCTTACTCCTTACTGGAAGCTCAATATGCCATTACAGAAATTATTAATGTTTTAGGGGCTTTAGGCTTTCGATTTGTTCTATGAGATTTTAGAGCAGTTTGAAAGCTGATTTTGGCTTTGTATACGCAGAAATATCAAAATTCCAAAGGCCTTTTTCTTACACAGAAGTATCGAAATTCCGAAACTGTAAGTATTTTATGCCCGTAATTTCGAAGTTGATCTATCCGTTCAGAATCGAAGAGCTTGATACAGCTGCATTCGACGTTTCGGAACTGTCTAGTAATATCACTAAAATGGGATATCCGTACTGTTTGTCCGGACAATCTTAGCCACACGCATATAAGCAAGCAAGAAAAATCGCTATTTTACGAACTTAATTTAAATAGAGCATTTTGCATATAATTTGAAGACGATTTTGTCTGCACACAAATATTGTGTACATACACAATATTGCGTGCTTCTATGCATATTAATACTTACATTCATGTGGAAAAAAATAAATCAACGCACGACAGAACTAAAAAACTCAAATTTCTGGACCCTAGTCCTGAAAGATGGTACTACGAAAAACAGCTTGAGATTGCGTTCTGCATTGGCCGAAGTCGCTGATAGTTACTGTTTATATGAATTTCAAAAACTCTTCCATTTTCTCAAAGTTCTTTTATGCAGATACCCGCAAGTGTAAGTCCCAGTGAAGGCACTTTTTCCAAACGACCACTTGCTGGTCAAGTTTTTCTTCATGAATTTTCTTTTTCCTCCAATTTCTGTTTGTGAAGAGCTTCATATTCAAGAATTTATATTTCTGCTGTAATGAATCCTAGAGGAATCTGACTGATTTCCTTCACGCTGCTTATTACCAATACTGTACGGATTGTAAACTGTGTGACTGTCTCATGTTAGTGTGATGCTGCCGGGAGTTTTAGAGAAAAACTTACCATTAGTATAGCTCGCTGAAAATAGCGAGAGCTTTCAGGAGCGAAAAAATGTGCCGTTACCGATGCTGCACCGGCGCTTTCCCCGAATAATGTCACCTGAAGTATCAACTTCATGGTGTTATAAATTAGGATTCAAGTGCCCCTCCCCTCCTCTCCCTCCCAAAATGTATTGCAGATACATCAAGCAATTCATGGGTGGTAAACTGGAGGCTTTCAGCTTAGGACTGAACGGTTCTGACACAACTGCGCCTGACGTGTAAAAACATTCCAGTAACATCACTAACACGGGAAATCCATAATGATTGTCTAGGCGGTCTTGGTATTCTTGGTATAAGTGAAGTATTAAAATGCATAGTTTTTTCCTCATCCCCTTCCCGCAACTCGCTTCTTTTTCGGCATCACTCTTCCCCTCCCCTTCTTCCCTTCCCTTTCCACTCAATCCTTCCTTGAATTTCGTAAAAAAACAAACTTTATTCGGATCGCCACCAAATGCGTCAATATTCTCGTGAATCCACTGCAATGCAAGCTGCTGATCCATTAAACCCATATTGCCCGGTATCGAAGAACCATCGCCAAGATATAGAAAGCCAAAGGGTCCAAGCCTAAATCGAATATCACGAAAGTACTCCTTGAACTACCAAAACACAGAAGGAGGCTTCAAACTTAATCTGAATTTAGCTCATAATTTGAACTTTTATTTCAGTAGAGCTACTCGTCTTATTAGTCAATATTTTCAGCGAAGCATGCAGTTTCGTTCGCTTATGGGTGATATCATCTAGGCAGTATTTACGAGGAAGAAGGGTTAGATTGATCATCCGGCTAGAACGAGGGGTAACAGATGGACAAAGAGAATAATCAAATTATTATCATTCAATTTTAGCAGAGAACAGGAAAGACAGAGAAATACGGTTGAAATATCCATTCGAATGGCTATTAAGGAATTATGTAGATAAAAGACGCGCAAAATAGAGGGGAGAAGTTCCAGCTGCATCAATGGCGAGAATGGTGATGATGAAGCAATGACTGATTAAAATATTACTCAATTTTGTTTGGACTAGTAGCTACCTAAATATAAATCATAACAAATTACCTGTAATTGATGTTGACAATGATTGTTTTTTGACGACTAGCCAGCACACGCCCATCGTATAGATCCAGCGATGGGGTACCAGAATAGAAGCCACCACCGTATATCCAAACCATCACCTTTCCGTCATGTTTTTCCGGCACCCACATATTTAAGGCCAAGCAATCCTCGTCATATATCTTTAATCATTGGTCAACTTAGTTCATCTCTTTTTGAAGTGCATAATACAATCGGGATCAATACGCCCGGGAGGGGAATGGTCGCTACAAATAGCAAATGTTCATCGTTGGGAAAAGGTGAAAAATTATGATCCGTG